GCTCAGGGCGAAGAAAAACTAAGAGAATTAACAAGACATCTCAAATAATAATGTGCCTGCTTGCCAATCTCACTCCCTTTAAAACTGACTCTCAGGAAGGGTCTATAGGTACTGAATGCGGTGATCCCTCTGCTCAAATTTTAGCAAGAGAATCAATTTTCTAAACAGAGACAATAAAGAAACTACCTAGGAATAAAAGAAAATTGAAGTGAGATGCATGTAGAGAAAAAAAAAAAACAAAAACCCACCCTCCAAAACCAAAACTCTGCATGTCTTATAGTGAAAAATAAAAATTTAAATACAAATGTAAATATACCTGTTGTTCCTTGATTGTCTCCTCTCAGTGCTTCAAGCATGTCTTCTAGTGGGGTACACACTCCAAGGTTAGCCAAAGAATAATACTTAGCAGCCAGGGCAAACAAATGTACATTGATAAGCTTCTTAGACTTTTCACAAAATACATTCGAAAATGTGTCATCATCTGTATGGAAAAGAAAATGAAAATATTTCTGTTAACAGGGCTTAATGTCCCAGTAATAGCACTGACACAAAACTACAAACAATAAAGACGTAGTGTCAGACAGAAGTAACCATTTATTTGGCTTGCATAAGTGGGAAAATTATTTTTCTTTGGCTGTATTCCCCCTTCAGAACTGAGGTCAAATTTTGCTCTTAGCTTAACTAGTGTGAATGTGGAAAAATCTGTTATTTTAGCAGAGCTACTTTAGTATAATTGACAAGAGAATACAGTCAACATTATCACTTCTCTTCATTTACAAACTTGCTCATTATGCATTTCCTAGCCACCCTCATCTGACAATACATACAACTAGATTTTTAAAGCAATGTAGCTGTTCAATATACAAAATACTTTGATCTACAATCACTATATCCACATACTTTCCAAGCTGCTTTGTAACTGGTGAATCTGCTGGGAGAATTAAATTAATTTTTATTACCAATCAGGTGTGAGCCAAAGTTAGATGCCAGTACATATTTTGTTTGACTCGGGATGAAATGCTTCAGTTTGCTATTTCTCAGTTCTTAGTTTCAAAAATGTAAATTTGTTTTTAGTGAAACATATTGGCGCAAATAAATTATTAATTCTGAGATTGTTTTGTATGGACCAATTCCTTTCTATTTTACCTAAAACTATTGTGAACTCTACACAGTTTTGCTAATAATTTTTAAATATTTGTAATTCTTCTAAAATATACAAAAGCTAACAAGTGCAGCAAATGAACTCTTTCAAACATTTAGAAAACGTCTCCTGGTTTGCCTTTTCTCTCATGGGTAGATGTGGAGCAAGTGCGTACCTAGCATGGTAGCTTTCCTCCATCTGGTCTACCCACCTCCATGACAAAAAACACAGCTGTTTTTATTGAGCTCACCTCCAATGTTCTTAATTTTCTTGCATGAACACAATTAAAAGCCATGTGTATATTACAGTTTATTGAAAATGGTCCCAACAGTGTCAACGTGTTAATTTTCATGGTATTATACTACAAAACTGTAAGTCCAGCAAACAAACTTTGGACCTAAGAAGGAATAAACAATGTCTGAGCTATCTATGACCAGAATGAATATTATTTCAGTGTCTGCATGGTGCTTCTTACTCTACTTCTACTACAAAATCAAAAAAGAAAGCCACCTTTCTCTATAAGTGATTTTCTTATTTGAACTTCTGAACATCCAGTAACTTTTAATTAGTGAACCTTCATGAAGGATAACAATGTAACATGATATTAGAGAACAGAAATAAAGGGAAACACCAAACCACAATGAAGACTGCAAAGTTTTCAGGGAGAAGGGGTAATTTGGCTTTCCAATGTCCCTGTAATATATGTTACAGAAAGACAAGTGTCGTGGTTTAACCCGGCTGGCAACTCAGCACCACGCAGCCGCTCGCTCACTCCCCCCCCTCCCTCAGTGGGATGGGGGAGAGAATCGGAAAGAAAATAAAAGGTTAGAGCCGAGGGCTGAGATAAAGACAGTTTAATAAGAGAAAATAATAATAATAGTAATAATGAGAATGATAACAGAATATACAGAATATACAAAACGAATGAGGCACAAGGCAATTGCTCACCACCCACCGACCGATGCCCAGCCCGTCCCGAGCCGCAAGCAGTCCCCGAGCCGCGAGCAGTCCCCGAGCCCCGAGCAGTCTCCCCGCGACCGACCGACCGAACTAACCGCCCCCCCCCACGCATGACGTTATATGGTATGGAATAGCTCTTTGGTCAGTTTGGGTTAGCTGTGCTAGCTGTGCTGTACTCCCAGCTTGTTATGCACCTGGGCAAGCAGGAGAAGCTCAAAAAGTCCTTGAGTAGTCTGAGCACTACTTGGCAACAGCTGAAAACATCAGTGTGTTATCAACATTCTTCTGGTACTAAATCCAAAACACAGCACTATGCTAGCTACTATGAAGAAAATTAGCTCTATCCCAGCCGAAACCAGGACAACAAGTAATTAGATGTGTGCATTTTGAAATGTATGAAGAAAAATAAATTTCCTTTCTGACAGTACCGTCAAATCAAGCAAATAATGGAAGCGACTAATATAATAGGATAAGATAATAAACCACTTTTGGACAACGTACAGAATTGCTTTTTTTTTTCCCCCCTCCAAAAAAGTTTCAACAACCACAAAATGAGGTGACTACCTACACACAAAGAGTATTTTTGTTTTCTGTGGGGTAAACATTATGGAAGGAATTCTTAAAAGAAACACCGTGAGTTATTGCTGAAGAAGAAAATTTCAATTTATTTTTAAGGAGGTTCACTCATTTAACTTATTTTAGATTTTTTGGGAATGAACAGTGTTCCAGCAAACTTATAAACATTCACAAAATGTAGTCTGAATCAGCAAAAATGCATAGAAATCTTTAGGTCTGATGCAGTGGGTAGAAATCGCTAATCTGTCAAGAAAGAGAACAAGGTTTAAGAGACTCAACAAGCAGCCATATGCCAACATTACTGACAAAGTGATAGACATGAGACATGAAGTCAAAAGGTGCAGGGGGATATTTTGACCAGGGAGCCGTGCAGCAGTTTTGCCAGGTGAAGAAGAAATCTGATTTTCTTGATGAGAAGTGGATGTTCCACTTTGCTTCATGCATATTATGACCTCTTTGAATTAGTATATTTAGTATAACAGACTGGAGAAAGGTCTGGCCCATTCTAGTATACATTTATATTGTTCTCCAAATTTTATTTCCTCAGTGACCAGTATGGTTTGGTTTTGGGTTTTTTTCATTTTAGAAAACTGGAGCCCATAACACTGAAACACATAGTCTTTTTAGCAACTTGCACACATTTTTTAAATATATTGGCCAATCTTGTTTGACAAAACAAAACAAAAATCAGTCAAGCAAAACCTTTCCACCCAAATCCACTTCTTTTCCTCGTGACACAACATTATATGGAATAAAGATTTGAAAGTACATTGGAATGTCATCCTGTTCTAAAATATTTCTTTAACATATGTGAGATGCATCAGAAACATCTGAATAAAATTTGATTTTTGTAATTTTCATTTTCATATAAGGATATTACATATCTATTAAATGTATTTCGGTTTATAAGCAGTATTTTTTCAAAATGTCTGCCTAGATATTGGGTGGTTTTAATTTACCTTTATATTTTAAATACACCTAACTGTATCACTAGTGGAAAAAAATATGCTTTCAATCATTACAGTGACATCAGATACTTGAGGGTACAAGAAGAATTACCGCCGTTCTTCCTCCATATCACAGGATAGCAATAAAATTAACGAAAACATGTCACTGTCACATAACAAGTCTATTAGAAGATGCCTTTGTTGGCTCCAAGTGTACTAATATATGCATTCTTTCAGTAACATTAAGCAGCTTAGAACTGTTCTTAATGTAAAATTTCTAGTGGTATTAGCAGAAATAAACAGAAAAATATAAACCAACCTGAAACATCCTGTAGGTGTCATAAATATTACATTTATGTATTTACTTCAGTTCCAAAGGCAGAAGTGAATGCAAACATTGCTGACAAATCAGGTACCTATAAGTTGTTTATAAATATGATCTATTTCAACACTTGAGACATGTTCATTTTGCTACAATAGGCAGGATCTTTAAGTACAGCAGTTTCCTTTATTGGAAATAAACTCACTGTGCAAATGTTAACACCAGCCCTCCAATGCATGGTACCGAAATAGCTACTGGAAAAGGTTTGTTTCAAAGCATCAGACTTGCTGCTGCCTCAACCCAGAATGGTACCCCAGTCCAGTGGAAGTTTCTACAAGGTCTAGGCCAGCATATATACCTCTTCATCCAGAAAAGTCATTCTGAGCAGACAACAGCTAATTCAAAATGTGGGCACAAATACACACACAAGGATGACACGCCTGCACAAGCTACCATGAGTTAAGTATTTTGTTTAGGTAATTACATCAATACTGTACCGAAGCTATATCTGGAGTCAAAGCTAGGGCTCTCATCAATTTCTACTGCAAGGTCTGTAATCATCTTTCTTCAAACTGCATAAGCATCAACTGCTTGGATACTGTAATGGCCATACCCTTAACACCTACCAAATTACCAAATGCAAGAATGCCATTGACCCCATTTCCACACCACCAGCCATCATCCAAAACAGAGCAAAACCAGTACCCCTCATCTCCTCTGTAAGGAATACATATCACACACCTCACTGGCAACTTTCACCCAACAGTCACTGTGGAAATAAACATCACGTGAATTACATATACAAACTTGAAACTTGCTACAAAAGAAAAAAAGAAAACTATCATCAGTCATGCGCATACCCATCTTACACCATACTACCCTGACACTGATATGAAAAATCATTAAATCTATACCCTTGGAGAAATTTGTCCTTCTTTTTCCTGTCTAACTTTCAAATAGCTCACGAAGATCAACAGCACAAGCAAATATTCTGCAGATTAGAGTTCACACTATTTAGCAACCCTATCTTCCTTTCACGTTACTTCCCGCTGATCCCACTGTATTGCACAAATACAACTTACCTTGAAATTTCATGTATGTTCAAGACTGATTATTGAAATCTGAAGTTTGCTGCTGCTTTGCCAGAACCTGTGAAAAGCTTATAAACCCACCGCCTGCCTGCTTTCACTTTTCAGTACCTGACATAAAATATATTAACTCTCCTTACAAATCTCACTTAACTGAAATTAAATGCAGTAATACCCATGTTCCATAATGTTCCTCCATGGAATGTCCAAGTTCAGTTATCCGACGGAAGAACAAGAACAGAACGAGTGGGATCTTGTACAAGATCAGTAGTATATCATCTGTAATAACGCTCCTACCAAACTTAAATTTTTGTCCCAGCTTGCCAACCAAATGAAAAAAACCCAGCTATATTAAGGTATCTAAAGCATGTCTTCAAGGTATGGAATGGCAGTTGTCAGAGTACATATTATTTATGAATATTAAAAATGTTAGTTTTCTCAAAATATTTCTACTTTGGTTACTCACAAGAAACCTAGTACGTCTCTTAACCACTCAGTCCATACATTTGCAAACAAATCTTCAGAGAAAAGAAACATATGCCAAAAAAATTGGAATTATAGTACAAACAGTAATTTACAGTAAAATATGAAAATACTTAAACACAGATTTTTCTGTGCCTGTGTCCAATTTACAGCAATGACGTGATAAACAAGATGCAATATGGCAAATGTCAGCTTTTTGATGTATAAAAATACAAAACAGTTTTCTGTATCTAAAAATAGATCTGAAATTTTTCTGTAGGGTGCAACTGAAAAGAAGGGTTCCACCCTTTATATGGTCATTATAATGAAATATCATCTGTGAGTATCTGAAAATATTCTTTGAAACTGATTTACAGAACATGTAATGTAATGTTCTGTAACACGATTATCTTCTTGCATATAATACTGTACAACAGAACTGCAATTTCTTGCTTGCTAGCTTCTAAACTATAATTCAGCATACGTACTTGTCAAAATCCCTAAAGTAACTTAAAATATTGTGCAGAATAACAGTTTCGTGCCAATCTGAAATGATGGTACTTTTTAGTTTGCAGAGCTATGCGAGTATGAACTGACAACTTCACATTTTCGGATCAGTCCTGTCAAATGTAGCTTATGTTTCCCTGTAATTTAATTTGGTATCCCTATTAGAACAGATTCTAGAAAACTTTTCATAATAGTTTTGGGATTGTGAATATATAAATGTAAAAGGTCTCAAACTCTTAGGAAGCAAAGGTTTTACCATGTGAAAGCAAAATGCCATTTTATACATATTTTGAGTAAGGTATTTGGGGTACGTGACCACAATGTCATTTGAGCATGCAAAATATATCTATTCTCATAGTCACGCTCCAAAAAAAAAGTAGTTCTATGAATGACAGCATGTCATGAGAGCCTTTTAGTACCCATTTCAAGGCACATATAAATAACTAACATTTAAATATCTGATAATTTTGAATAACAGCCACACATACAGTTAGTATTTTAATATTTAGGAATATAAGGCAGAGTTATTTCTGTTTATGTTGGGTTTCAAGGTCTCTAATGGCTGGTTTCTGATCTCTAATGTTATGAAGTTGTACTAACACACTCAAATAAGCTATGACATTAAGTTTTTCAACCCTAATTTTAATACAGGCTAACAGTGCATTCATTTGCAACCATAGGTAGAGGTTTGCAGCTATCTTCACGGAGGAACTCATATTCTACTAGGATGTATTTTCACCATATGACTGGATGGACAGATACCATGCAGTCAAACAAGTCAGGCATGAATGACCAAATCAGCAAGCACATGCCTATTCCGTTACAGTGCCTTCAATTTTGTCACAGTAGTGGAGAAATTTCGAGAGTGCCTCAAAACTTTCCAAATGTTAAATAGCATAATATAATTCTGAGGCTAGAAAAAAGAGCAATTCTTTTAACGAGCAGAAATAACCCCCATAGAAACCAAAGAAATGTTGTATTTTAGCCCCAGCATGAAGGCTTCGTACCCTTCTAAAACATGTGCTTCATTTTAGTCATAAATTGTGTCCTTTTGTTCCAGTAATTTCTGTATCAGATTCTGTGACATGCATTTTGAATATAGATCACTAAATGATTTTCCAATTTTAGAATCTACAAAACAATACTCTGCCTTCCTGATTTTCTTTCTATTCTACAGGCAACCACTTCAGCGTCTGAATAATTTCACGGACTTTCCCCTAGAAATAGGCAAGATCAGGGTAATTTTCCTTTCGTGTTTTCTTTCTGATGACTGCATCTAATCATTAGTTTTGTTCCAGCCTCTATTTACATTTAATTTTATGTCCCGCTGCTCTGAACCCGTTCTGACTCTGACATTACCTGGCAAAAACATTAAGTTTTGCCTCGCTGCTTCCCAACGCTTTTGCTTGCTGACTGGGCCGCTGTCTTGTTTCCATCTGGCTCTCAAAGTTAATTCATAATCCAGTGTCTTTTTCATGCACAAATAAATTCTGTGGTTTTTTTTTTCCCAGATACCTCAACCCTTTAAAAACGAGTCTTACAGTTAATATTTCGAAGGTCTTTAGATCCAAGAGAGAAATGTTGCAAGAGATGTAGCAATTCACAGTTCTTCAATCTCTTTCCAAATCCAAATCATTATCTTAGCGTGTCTCCTGTGCCAAAAAGTACACAGCTCCAGATGCTACTCTCTGTGGACCCTTCCGTTACACTCAGTGTGCTTTCCTGTCTCACGTGTCATTTCACGTCGCGTTTCAGAGCTAACGCCACGCGAGAGCTATCTACGTTCCGTAAGCCTTGGCATGACGCAGGTTTTTCTCGGCTAAGATCTTTGTCAAAGATTTTACCTCCAGTTTTGAAACCGATCTCTTTGCTGGGGCCCAGTCCCCCCAGATAACACACCTTTTGGGTGCTTTACCTTCGTTTCTGCGCTCTGCCTGAAAGCGTATTACCGGTACGCTTCCCTTCCACCTGGACTGCAGTAAATTCAGTAAGACCGGTTTCAGAGCTGCCCTCCTCTTGAGTTACTTGAAAATTACCAAAAATATGAAGTGCTTCTTAAATAGGTCTTGTCAGAAACAAAACTGCTTTCTGTCTTCCTTTGCCAGACGCTCATTATTACAGATATATAGGAAAGTGGCGTTTAAGCCTTTTCCAGCTGTCCTCCACATTTCCAGAGTTTCAACATTTGGAGGACTTTCAACTGTTAACATCTTTCCACTCATGTGGAGGGGTCTTTTTTGGTTCATTTTACTTCTGTTCTCCAGAAATTTGTCAGAGGGAAGGAGTCTTTGACAGTCAGGAGTTTCCTTTCATTTCTGAACGAACAGGATGAAATTTATACCATGAGACCAACACCACCACTGCCGCTACCGAGCGCGCAATTCCTCCCACCACGGCTATACCTCATCTGACCCGGGACGGTTCCAAGCACACCCCGCTACCCTGGCGAAGACGGGCGCTGCTGGTGCAAACACCGGCGCGCAAAGCCCAAAGGGCTTCGGCTGAAGGCGGACTTAATGGCACGGCCCCGCGGCAGCGGCCGCAGCAAGGCAGCGGGCAGAGACGGAGGGGGAAAAAGGCAGCTGGGCAGAGAGGTGTGACATTCCCCTGGTTTATTAAGGCAAGGAAAATAATTCCCAGCACAGGTAGGAGGGCACCGAGGCGGTCCTCGGAGCGAGGAAAGAGACCGGTGCCGCCCAGGGGGCGTGAGGCGGCTGGAAGCGGGGAGCCACCGCGAGGCCCACAGGCGGCCCCAGCAGCCCGGGCACCACGGGAGGC